GTCCCGGGCCATCTCTGGGATGAGGGACAAAGGCTCAGGGTGAAGGAAGCAGCCTGTTGTTTGTCTCAGGGAGTCGACCCCCAACCTTTCTCCCTCTCAGGCTGGAGGGAAGTTGCTGGGGACCAGGTGGTCAGGCAGGAGCCGGGCTCACCTCTGAGCAGGTCTCGGGCGGAGGCCCCCTGCCTCAGCAGGGCCCGATTGGAAGAGGACACGATGGCCTTGAGCTCCTCAGCCCTGGACACGTACTGCTGCACCTGCAGGAGCACAGCACGAGGGGCTGCCCACCCCGCCTCCCTCAGTAGCGCCTAACTCCCAGCTCTCCCTCTGGATCCTCAGTGACTATCCCAAGCTGTAACGTCAGGGGCTGTCTTGACCCCTTCCCGGGACAGGAGATTCCAGTTCTAAGAGAGCCAGTCCCCAGTGGCCCCTGATCCCCTCACCCATTTCCTCCAGGAGACTCAGTCACCCACCTTTGCCTTAATTGCATCCTTCCGCTGGGCATCCACTTCGTCTGCAAACAGTGGTGGTGTATATGAGGACCTTGCACCACACCAAACCCTCTAGAATCCCCCAAAACTCTAAGTTCCAGATTTACCCTCTGCCTTGTCTCCCATAACATTCTGGATAGGAGTTGCTTCTGGAGCCCCTCCACAGCAGCTACGGCTGACCCACCCCTGCTGCACCCGGGGGCTCCAGGCACTCACAGTGCAGGGCGGGCACAAAGAAGTCCAGAGCTTTGCAGTAGAGAGACAAGGCAGCTGTGGCGTCCCCCTCCTGATCCTTCTTCACAGCCTGCACCACCAGGGAGGTCTGGGAGGCATGCAGATCAGGAGTCACGCCCACCCTCTGCTCACCATGAAGTGAGAAGAGCAGGTTCCCTGAGCCCTCCCTCTGCCCCCTGCGGGGCAAGACACCTGTTTACCACCAAAAGGGTAGATGAGAGCCCCAACCTGCCCTCGCCCCAGCCCACCCCTGGAGGCCTGCTCACTGCTCGTGCCAGGCTCTCCCCACTGGGCATGTGCTCCAGGTCCACCCAGGGGTGGGCAAAGAAGTCCTGGAAGGAGATGCGACGGCCAGGGTCCCGCTCCAGGAGCCGCTGCAGCAGGTCCCGGCAGTCTCGGGAGAGAGGGGGCCGAAGCGGGAGCTGAGGGGGGCGGCGGGGGACAGGTCAGAGCCTCCCCCATCCTGTCCTGGTATGTCCCAGAGCTACATGTTTGACAGGTGGAGAATCTGAGAGCTAGGAGGGGCGAGTCTGGGGGATGGAGGCAGTGGAGAGCCAAGCCTCCTGCCCAGGTTCCTGCCCACGCCCTCCTGGAACCCTGAGCTGTTGGAGAGCCTCCCTGGCGTACGCTCTTGGGAAGATGGGAGCTCTGTCTACACAACAGTCTGTGGGCTAATCTGGGTCCCAAGAACCAGATGGAGCTATAAGCATGCCCAGCACCACAAAGGAGACTAGAGCAGACACCCAAGTCTATACAGGGGCAGTGAAGTATTCAACCTGAGGACTCTGACTCCCTCTGCCCCCAATGGGTTGCTGAGGCCCTGCGGGACCCACCTCGATAACCCGGTTACTCCGGATCTTCTCTTCCAGCTCCGTGAATGACCTGGAGGCAAAGGGAGGCTGCCCGAAGAGGGCTTCTGTGGAAGGAGGCAGAGGACAGGCTGGGAGGGAACAGGGTCCATCCTGGTCTGGCCCACTCCTGGAAGGGCCTGACACCCCTCAGAACAGGAGACCCAGGCCATTAGAGTCAGCCTTCCATTAAAGCCCTTCAGGAGTGGACAGAGGGGGCTTGTCTGAGGACACACAGTGCAGGCCAGGAGCAGGAGACAGAGCTCTTACCGTACAGGATGACCCCCACGGACCAGAGGTCCACACGGGCATCATACTGCCGCTGACACACCATCTCGGGGGCCATGTAGAGAGGGGAGCCACGGAGCACATGCTTCTCATCCCATGGGGACATGTGCTGTGCGAAGCCGAAGTCTGCAGGCAAGAGGCCAGGCAGCAGGGCTCAAGTTCCAGCTGCCTCTGCTCTTGGCCTTTGCAGCCTCACCCTGAGCTCCAGCACAGGACTCCTCTCCACCTTTCAGACTCAATCCTACTTCCTAGCCTTTGCTCATCATTAATCTCCAATACCCTCCTACATCTTCCTGTGGGGGCATAAATCCTACCCATTCTAACATGGCCCCCTCAGGCACCTTTCTCCAGGAAGCCCACACTCTCACAGCAGCTCTAAGGATAATGACCCATGAGGTGCTGGAGCCCTCTCCCGCACTGTCCCACCAAGCTCAGATTATAGCTCACTCTCTGGACTCCAGTCTCAAGTCAGTTCTTCTCCAAATCCTATTGGGGACCACAACCACCCCTCCCCCTCCTCACACCCTCCAACACCACCATAGGCTATGCCCCAATCCTGATGACACACCAAGTTCTGATCCTGGTCACACGCTGAGTCTTGACCCTGATTCCAACCATACACTGCTGGAGTCCAGTGTGGGTAGCCCAAAAAAGGTCCTACCTTTTGGTGATGGGGCCTGTCTCTGGATCTCCAGCCTCTCGCTGTTTGAACTCTACAGAGGGTTCCATGAGAACCAGCATTGTTGCGTGCACACCCACCCTTCAAACCTTGAAGCTCCATTCAGTTCTAAGGACCCAGATCCACCCAGAGATTGTTGTGCAAGCCCAGGCCCACATTTCCCCTGCTGTTCCAGACTCACACCTGCCAGCTTAAGGTGGGGCTTCTCCAAGGAGCTCAGCAGAATGTTCTGTGGCTTGAGATCCAGGTGAGATATGTTCTGTTCATGCAGAAAATGCAGGGCACTAGCTAGGGAGCAGGACACACGCAGAGAAACAGGTCAGAAGAGCCCTTGCCTCCCCTGGCTAACATATGCTCCCTTAAGCCTGCATGACCTCAGTTCTGGCCTGGTTGGTCTACTGAATGCTTTACATAGAAGTACCAGGTTCCAACCACTTCTAAGAACCCCCGACTCCCACCCCTTTCCTCCCTTGGGCCCCTTCACAAGTCTCCACTCCCTCTAGAAGCCTCCTTGGATACCCCAGCCCCTTAGGATCTTTTGTGCTTTCTCTTGGCAAAGCACTTGGGCACGACCCATTGGGCCCTGGACTTCTCTCAGATCAGGGCTTCTGCCTCTGTCTCTCTCATAACACCCTTAAGCCAGGGATTGGCACATGGCAAGGATGGGGGCCTATAAATCCAAGCTGGGAAAGGGGCACCTGCCAAGAGTGCGGGGGCTCTGAGTCTGGGTAAGGGTGTGGTGGGAAAACAGACCATTGGAACTCTGGGTCAGAGGATTTTACCCAACTGCTGCATGAAGACACGAGCCACCTTCTCAGGCAGAATTCGGCGGGTATGGATGAAGCGAGACAGGTCACCCCCTGCACAGAACTCCATGATGAGGTAGATGTTGTCACTGTCCCACTGTGGTTAGAGGCAGAGAGGCAGCTTGAAGAGAGTGTCTCTTCTCCAGCCTCGTTTGGGGGTGGCCCCACCACAGGCCTGCACCTGGAAGTCTTTCAGCTGCACGATGTGGGGGTGTCGGATACCCTTGAGGATCTCAATTTCTGTTAGGAGGTTTTCCACGGATGCCTTGTTTAGACTCTTCTTGGCCACGCACTTTATGGCCACCACTTCTCGAGTGTCCTTCTGCCAGGGCAGGAGATTTGAGGGCTCTGCCTTGAGGGAGCCAGGGCCCATGGCTGGACAGAAAGGCTCTGGTTCCCTCTGCCCTTCTCTCCTTCCCTGGGCCTACCCACTCACACCAACATCCAGGCTTCCCAGCTTCCCATTCTCCGCCAATGAGGTCCCCTGATTCTGTAATCCTGGCCTCTTCACCCAGCCTGGTGTTCTCCAACCTTCTGTTCCATAAACCCTATAAGCCTTTCCAGAGTGCCCTAAGTAAGGCATGCCATTCAGTGTTCTAGAAGTGCCCACTGTTTCCTAAGTGGGTCCAGCCTCCCAATACCCTGTCCAAGACTTCTCCCGGCCCACCAGGTATCCTCCCGGTTTTGAGCCCATTCTTCTGCCACTGACACAAGGCTCCACCCAGGTCTCCACAGGCATCTCCGAAGGTCAGATTGGGACGTGGCAGGCGCGGGCACCTAACCGGTCTCATGCAGTCTCCAACCTCCCCTAGTTTCCCGGCTTGGCACCCACCTGGGGCGCACAGGGTCTGGCGGGCAAGGGGACAGGCCCTCAAAGTTCTCGTGCCCCGATTCCGGCCCCGCCCCGCACCCACCTTGGCGTAGGCCTTGTACACCGTGGCGTACGTGCCACTGCCCAGGCGCTCGGTGAGAATGAAGCCGTCCAACCGTGGAGGGGCCCAGCCAGACCCAGCCATCCTGACCGCCCGGAGCCAACCACCAGGCGCTTCCTGCTTTTCCACACGGGTTCCGGTTAGGAACCGAAAGGGAGCGAGCGTGCGGCGGCGACGGGGGCCCGACTCCACACTGCCCCTAGCGGGGCCCGCCAGAAGTGCAGCGCGGGGGGGCCGGTTCCCCCGCCCACGCTTCCGGCCCCCTCTGGCTCCTGAGTGCAGTCCACACCTGCTCCGCCTCCACTCCCAGGAGAAATCACATGATTTGCAAGATTCATCTGGAGATGCTGAGGCCACAGTGGGTCCAACGAATGAACTAGAGACTTGCAGATGAGGTCATGGGAATCCTTTCAGGGGCTAGGATAGCATCCTAGAGAGCACCCACATGAGGAGCAAGAAGGGTTGGGGCAAGGTGGAGAGATTCAAAGAGGTCCCTCCCCAAAACGCCAGCAGCTCTGAAAATACAATTACTGGGACAAGAAAGTACCGTAGAAGAAGTTATCTCAGGCAGGGGCTGGCCCCCAGGGCTGAGGGGATTGGCCTGTCACAGGCCAGCCAGCAAGCAGCATCTTGACTGACCCCTCACACATAGACAGAGGGCCTCTGCCTCTACTCCCCGTAGGTCACCCTCATCCTCCCAAATCCAGCAGACGTTAGAACCAGTGTTGTCTGAAAATGTCTTTTTATTTAAGCACAAAATTGAAACACAACATATACATTTGTACATGGAGAAAAAAATACTAGAAAGGAATTTACAAAACCTTGGTCACTGTCATTAAATTATCATTCAGCGGCTCTGGAGTCGAGTTGGCGGGCAGCCTCCAGGTTGGCCGGCTTTTTGAGAAGTCCCCAGTCCATGAGTGCATTCCTACAGCCTCTGGAGGATATGGTGCAGGTGTGAACTGTGGACTCCTAGGTACCCATCACAGTGACACACGTCCTAGGGAATCCCCAGGACCAGTGGAAGGTGACCTAGACTCTACTCCTGCTCAAGGCATGGGAGAACACTAGAGGATGAGTCTGAGCTGATTCCCCCAGCCCTTCCTGAGAGTCACACAAACTAGATATTGCTGATGTAGGGGGCAGAGCACAGCTGTCCCCTAGAAGAGGAAATCAAAGCAAGCAGAGACAAAACCCACACCAGGACAGTTGAACACCCCCAACCCTAGAAGACTGCTAAAGGCTGGGCAGGACAACTTGGGGTTGCCCTCTGTCCCTCCCATCCCCATATCCCAACCAACCCCAATGCACATTCAGTAAGTCTAAAGAGGGAAGGGCTCATGGAGGGCCCCAGATGGCACAGGATGCTGCCCACACAGGAAAGTGCATGAGGCGAAAAAGCCTATGAATCTGTTTGTGAGAAACATGAGGCAGGGAAAAGTCTGAGGAAAGCAGGCCGGAGACCTTGTCTAGAGGGATCTAGGGAGCTGTCCATCAGCCCAGACCACAGCTCATCTAAAGGGGAGCCCTTGAGCCCTGGCCAGTGTGACTCAGTTGGTTAGAGTGTCATCCCATATAACAAAAGGGATCTAGGGTTCGATGCCCGGTCAGGGCACACGCCTAGGTTACAGGTTCAGTCCCTGGTAAGGGTATGTGTAAGAGGCAACCAATTGACGTTTCTCTCTCACATCAATGTTTCTTTCTCTCACTCTCCCCCTTTCTCCCCCTCTCTCTAAAATCAAGGAGCATGTCCTCTGGTGAGGATTAAAAAATAATAAAAAAACCCCAAAGGGGAGCCCTTGAGAGGTCACCCCATGCTAGCAGCACAAGCTGGGTCTGTGGATTCAGATTCAGGCCAGGCTGCCGGGGGAGGAGTGGCAGCTCAGGCCCTGGCAGAACAACTCTAGCTGGCGTGTGCCCATGTTGGCCAGTGATCCCATGTGTGCATGTGCATACCTGCACATGTGTGCATGCATGTGTGTGTGCCCATGTAGGGGGAAGAGAGCTCCAGTCCCTATGCTTCCAAAGAGACAAAAGAATCCTACCGAACCACCACCAGAGAGGAAAAGACAGTTTTGATTTTTTTCTTTTCTCTTGTGTAAAAAAGTTCCTGTCCCTCCCTCCCTTGCCCTGAAGTGGAAGGGAGACCTGGTTGATGAGGAAGGAGGAAGAGCCATGGCAAGACCCTCCCTGGGTCTGTGCTGGGCATAAGCACTGTTTAAGGCACCCATGGAAAGTGCAGTTCAGAAGGCAGGCAAGAGAAAAGGCAGGGCAGAGGGAAGAGAGCCAGGAGAACTAATTCCCCTGGAAGGCTCCTCGAGCAGCAGATGAGGCAGCGCTTCGGAAGGTCCTGTTGCTGAAGATGCCCTGGGAAAATTCCTCTTGGGCCTGCTGGAAGCTGGCCCCCGTCCGGCGGTACAGGGAATGCACCTGGGGGAAAATGCTGTGGTAAGAGAGGCCCACCCTGTGGGCCCACAGAGAACCCAAGACTGTCTGACTTCCCCGCCAGAGCCTTGGAGAAAGCCACTGGACCTTTGGGAATTCAAGAGGCCCAACTGCTGTGGTGAACACCTCCAAGGTGAATACAGGAGAAAGGTGCCTGCTTTCTCGGGTTTGCTGTTGGCCCAGCACCCACTACTCACCCGCTTCAGGAGGAAGAGTGCGAACACGGCACAGAGGGTGAATAAGCCAGCCACCACCATCATGATGATCGACACAGCCAAGTTCTCACGCAGTGTAGACAGGGCTGCAATCCAACCACTACAAAGGGGGGAGGAAGCCAGAGAGGGTATAGTGGGAGTGGCTCCCGGAGTTCCCCGTGAGGGGCTCTTCTCCAAGTGGCTGCTGTATGCTGCCCACCATCTAGGCCGATAGGCCCCACATAGCCCACATGGAGTCTCTGGGCCATGTGAGGTCTGGAAGGGATGTGGCTGCTGCCCTCACAGTCAGGAGAGGGTGTTGGGGAGACATGGAAAGGAGGCTGGCTCCTCACTCCTGGGCCCACCCCCTGCATTCATCCTGTCACCTCAGCCCCTCCCACTGGGGACCAGGCAGTCATGTCTCCTCCCTAAGCCCCAGCCTCTTCATCTATAAAAGGGGATATCCTCACACTTCCTGAGTTAAAAACTTGCTACGAAGTTAGTTATAAAAATAGTGTGGTACTGGCATGAGGACAGACATATATAATATATAGATCAATGGAATAGAATGAAAAGTCCAGAAACAAACCCACATATCTATCGTTAACTGGTTTTCATGAGGGTGCCAAGAGCATTGAATGGGGAAAGGATTGTCTCTTCAACAAATGGTGATGGGACAGCTGGATGTCCACATGCGAAACAATTAAGTTAGACACTTACGTCAACCACACACAGAAATTAATTTAAAATAGATACATGATGTAATAATAAACAATAAAACTCTTAGAAGAAAACAGAGGCAGCTCTTCATAACCTTGGATTGTTGATGGTTCTTAAATACAATACCCAAAGCACAACAAAAGAAAAAGATAAATTGGATCCCATCAAAATTAAAAACTGGAGTCCTGGCTGGTGTGGTTCAGTGGACTGAGCATTGGTCTGCAAACCGAAAGGTTGCTGGTTCAATTCCCAGTCAGGGCACATGCCTGGGTTGTTGGCCAGGTTCCAATTGGGGGCATGTAAGAGGTGAACAGTCAATGTTTCTCTCCCTCTCCTTCTCCCTCCTTCCCCTCTCTATAAAAATAAATAAATAAAACCTATAAAATAAATAAAAAGTTCTAGTACATCAAAGGATACTGTTGAGAATGAAAAAACAAAATAGAAAAAAGTCATAAATTACCTATCTGATAAAAAGCCAGTATCCAAAATACATAAAGAACTAAACAACAAAAAGACCATCCAATTAGCAAAGGACTTAAATAGATATTTCTCCAAATAAGATATACAAATGGCCAACAAACACATAAGGATGACCAATCAGGAAATGCTGGTCAAAAACCACAATGAAATATCACATCTGTAGGTTGGCTATAATAGAAAAAGAAAACAGTGGAAAATAACAAATGCTGGCAAGGATGTGGAGAACTGGAACTCTCATACACTGATACTGGGAATGTAAAATGGCCACTGTGAGAAACAATTGGGCAATTCCTCAATAAATTACACATAGAATTACCATGTGACCCAGCAATTCCACTCAAGACACAAACCCCAAAGAATCGAAAACAGGTACTCAAAAACATGTGCTGAAATGTTTGTAGCAGCACTACTCACAACAGCAAAAAGGTGGAAATAATCCAAATCCCTGTCAACAGCCCTGGCTGGTGTGGTTCAGTGGACTGAGCACCAGCCTGCGAACTGAAAGGTCACTGGTTCAATTCCCAGTAGGGGCACATGCCTGGGTTGTGGGCCACATCCCCAGTGGAGGGCACGAGAGGCAACCACACATTGATGTTTCTCTCTCTCCCTTCCTCTCTCTCTATAAACAAACAAACAAACAAACAAATAAAATCTTAAAAAATAAAAATCCCTGTCAACAGTAAATGGATGAACAAAATGCAATAGAGTCAAACAATGGAACACTACTCAGCTACAAAAAGGAATGATGTACTGATCCGTGCTACAACACGAACCTTGAAAACATCGTGCTTAGTTAAAGAAGCCAGACAAATCCAATGAGACAGAAAGCAGATTAATGGTTGCCAGGGGCTCAGGGAAGGAGGGTATAAGGAGTGACTGCTTACTAAATATGGAGTTTCTGTTTGGGGCAATAAAAATGTCCTGGAATTTGCCCTGACCAGTGTGGTTCAGTTGGTTGGGCATCGTCTTGCAAAGCAAAAGGTCTATAGTTCGATTCCCAGTCAGGGCACATGCCTGGGTTGTGGGTTCGGTCCCCAGTTGGAGTGTGTACAAGAGGCAACTGATCGATGTTTCTCTTTCACATCAGTGTTTCTCTCCCTCTTTCTCCCTCCCTTTCCCTCTCTCTAAAAATAAATAAATAAACTCTTTTAAAAAAAAAATCCTGGAACTAGATATTATTAGTGATTGCACAACACTGAGAATATTCTCAATGCTATTGAACTGTATACTTTAAAATGGTTTAAGCGAGCCCTGGCTGGCATAGCTCAGTGGATTGAGCGTGGGCTGTGAACCAAAGCATCACAAGTTCGATTCCCAGTCAGGGCATGTACCTGGGATGCAAGCCACAGCCCCCAGCAACCACACATTGATGTTTCTCTCTCTCTCTTTCTCCCTCCCTTCCCTCTCTAAAAATAAATAAATAAATAAATAAATAAATAAATTTTAAAAAATCTTAAAAAATAATAATAATTAAAAAAACCAAAATGTCCCCTGACTGAAGACACAAACAAGGGGAGACCAAAAAAATGGTTTAAGCGGTACATAAAATGATATATTTTACTTTATGTGTATTTTACAATCAAAGAGAACGTTTTGAGGTGAGATGAGACTAGAGGCTGCAGAGCTCATCCAGGGAGGCTGAGGCAGGGCAGCAAGGGGTGAAGCCAGGACCAAAAATCAAGCCTTCCGATTCCCTGTCCAGGGAGCAAAGAGCAGTTATTAATCACAACCTTTTTACCAAGATCTCACTTAGGGTAATGAGTAATGAAAGTGGGTCGCCCAAGGCCAAAGGCGCCAGATTATAAACAAGATGAGGAGGAAGAGGGGTGGTGGAGGGCAGTGTGCACTTGGCTCTGAGTTAGAGGTGAGTCGGCCCCCTCCCCACTGCTCTGGACTTGCCAGCTCCACTGGGGAGATGGGACCAAAATAGTACAGCCCTTCCAGGCTCAGGCTTTTAGCCAAGTGCCAGCCTGACCTTTCTGTAATGTTCCCTGTGCACTGAGACGGAAAGGAAAACATCAGCCATCAGCTTTTCTTTCTGAGACGAATTCTGAGTGGAGGACTGCAGCACCTCAGCCAACTGTACGCTCAAAGAGAGCAGCCAGAGGAGCTCACCCAAGAGAGGATAGGACTCTGTCTCTTGAGGTCACAGGGCCTCTGGACAGTCACAGCTCAGGAGCTTTGAAGACCAAAGCATCCATCAGCAGATGCCCAAACCCAAGGGCTTGTCTAGCACCTGTGGAAGTAGCACCAGCTTCTCGGAGGGTGTGGCAGAAGAAAATGAAGAGGCTACAATCCAGTGCAGGACTAAGGATACAGTCCAGGTAGCCTAAGGATTCAGGCCAAGTTCACCCACAGCACCCCAGAAAGTGATAAGCAACACAAGACAGTGAGTGGCTACTGGTGAAGAACTGAAGGTAGATCCAAGCTGGCCCAGTCACCACTCTCTCCGCCATGGTGGAACGGGGGCTATCTATAGGGGCTCTCAGGGGCTGGCAAACAGGGTGAGAGAGGCTGAGCCAAGCCTCCAAAGCCTAGTTCCCTCCATATTGCCCCAGCTCTCACCTGTCCCCCAGGTTAGGGATGCCGATCAACTGGATGACATAGATCCCTATTTGACAAAAAAATACGAAGAAGAACACGAAGAAGCTGAAAGAGTTGTCAGACCTGTGGAAAGAGGAGGAAAACCAGGGGTCACGTGAGGGTCTGGAACTCATTCCTCAGCATTCTTCACATGGTGTGGCGTTCCTCTTCACTGGCAGCCAGAAGATGGGACTGGACAGCAGACGGAGCACCAGAGGACCAGGCTCACCATCTACAAGGACATACCCAGAGATACCCCCACTATAACCAAAAAGGGTTTGCCTTTTTCACTGCCTTCCAATTTAAGGGGTCAATGCTTGATCCCTTTCTCAAAGAGCAGTTAAAGTTGCTTACCCAAAGGACAGTATAAAGGGCTTAACAATATTTCATAATAGGAAAGAAAATCTAAGTCAAAGGTATAAACCTTTAAAAATAAAACTGTAGGCCTGAGTGGCAGAAAAGGTGTTTGGGGAGTAGAAAAAAACTAGACAAAACTGGTGTTTTAAGGACCTCCATCTCTGTGTCCTTGAGGGCTAGAGTACAGCGAGGGTTCAGGTCCCACCTACTGAGTGCCAAGGAGTAGGGGTGGGGCAGGTTCAGCCACTGCCCTGCTCCCTCTTCCTGGGGCCTACTGGGCTCCCAGACCCAAAAGCATCAGCTCTGAGGCACAATCCCAAAACCCTAGGATCCATTAAAGTCCACAGTATCTACTCTAGGTCACCAGGTCAAACACTGGCACTCAGCAGTGGCCCACAGTTACTTGGGAGGCAGACGGAGGGACCTAAGCAAGCATGCAGAGATAAGCCATTCAGAGTGTACCTCAGAGTCTATCACAGAAGCTAGGGAGGCGATTCTCAACCTTTTTCATGTCAAGGCACACGTAAACTAATTACTAAAATTCTGTGGCATGCCAAAAAATATATTATTTGTCAATCTGACAAAAAAATAGGTATAATTTTCACTCATTCACACCAGTTATTGTTGTGTTGGCTGTTGTTACTTTTTTGACAATCTAAGGGAAAAGAGGTGAGCACCCCTAAGTAGTCAGGTATTGCATGCTTTAAAAATTCTTGCAGCACACCGGTTGAAAACTGCTGCCCTAGAGCCTTGGAAGGGAGCCTAGGAAGTCCCTTCCTTCTTCCCAGTGAGTGACTGAAGTCCTCCGGCACCAAACAGACTGATGTGGAAGGGCAAGTAAGGCTCTCCCACCCTCTCTAGATCTCTTGTCCTGGTCAAGGGGCAGGGCCCAGGACAGACCTCAGGTACAACTGAGGAAAATGGCTCCTGATACCTACCAACTCTGTGGGTGGGACTGGGAAGTGAATTTCCCATAATTCTATTCTGCTTTGACTGGAATGGGGCCTCAGGGGTCATGGCCCTAGACCTGCTACCTGGGATGCCAGCCATACACTTCCCCCTTACCACAGCCCCACGTACCTGAAGGCCTTGTAGATGGGTCGGTACCAACAAAGGAAGGCACAGGGGGTGAAGATCACAAACCATAGTATCGAGAGGCCAAAGTCCACTCCCTTGCTGCTGTCAACTAAGAACCAGGCCAGGCAGGCAAGCAGATTCAGAAATAGGGTCACTGAATGCACTGTGGAGAGGGGAGACAGACATGTGCTGGTGCCAAAGTGGCTGAAGGGCTCCTGGACATGGCAAACCAACCCTTGGAGAGGAGATGAGGTCCATGCTGTCAGGGCAGCTGCAGCAAGAATTGAGGACCTCGATCTATACACAGGCAGGGCTAGTTCCCATCTTTGCTCTTCTGGGACCTCAAAATCAGGGACCAAACCAAGCTCCTAAGAGGTGATAAAACAGCCCAGGTATCTGAGGGGTGGTGGTGGAAGAGGTGCAGACCCAAGAACTGACCTGTGGGGAATGGAGTCTTTCTCTAAGCAACTCTTTTCCCTGGCCCTTGATGGCCCACAGGGGAGTAACAGGGAGTCTTTTATCCTTACTCCTAGGAGCCCAGGGGTCTGTAGGGAGGGGAGGCCTTCACCTAAGGAAGACCTTTTAGTGCAGTGAGCTCCACGGGAACTCAGAAGCCTCCAGCTCATCCCACCCTCCTAGATGCATGATCTGGGCTGGCCTTTGAGGGGAGGTTCCCAGGACAGGGGGCAGACTTCAGAGGGCCAATTATGTGTGCAGACGGTCCCTTACCCCAGCCCGACCAGCAGTGAGGAAGGCTGGAGTCTGCGAGGGAGGAGCAGCCAGAGCATAGATAGGGCTCTCAAGACACAGCCCATTTTTAGCCTTGAGCCCAGAAGGGCAGGAGTTAGACTCACACATCCAGAGGTAGTAGAGCATCTTGCATATGCGCTGGTAGTCGGCAGGGATCTCTGTGGAGAAGTCCTGATAGAAGCAGGGCTTGACAGGGCACCACAAGGGTAGGGGAGGCCAATTGTTCTCTCTCACTGTGTACAAAGAGATGATAAGACAAGGCCCAGATTCAGCAGCAGCACAGCACAGTGCGCATGCCAGCCCAGTGGATGGGCCAAACCAGGGCTCCCGGGGCACCAGCAAGCAGGGTCTTCATGGGTATAGAGCGGGAAGGGAAAAGGATGATAGGACATAAACGCACACCAGCTCAGTCCAAGATAATAGACTCCAGATGCATTAAACACAGAGCTAAACAGCTTAAGTGATTATTTTTTGAACAGTCTATAACCACGGAATCGTGGGAGCAGTGCCCCAACTCTATCAAAAAATTTTAGCACTGGAAAGGAGTGTAGAAATAATCTATACCCAGTGAGATTACATGACAGGTCTCCTGGCTTCCACCTTACTGCTCTCCCCAGGGCCAGCACCATTCTAAGGTGATCAAGAGCTTAGCAAAGACCGGAGGCTGCCCCAGGAACAAGCAGGCTGAGGGAACCCTCCTGTACCAGGCTGGGTAACCCAGGGCCCCACGCAGCCTCCCTCACCATGTAAGTTGGCCACAGAGTTCTGCAGCTCCCGCTCCTTGCGTTCCAGCTCGGCTGCTTTCCTGTCCAGTTCTTCCTGCTGCCGGAGCAGGCTTGCCTGGGCTGCAGAGGCCACAGCCTGGAGCAAAAAGGGGAAGTGGGAGACAGTGAACATGAGACAGAGGGACAGTGCAGGCCCGACAGGAAGTCACAGGGCCTGTGCTCCACACAGGGAGAGCCAGCTGGGAGTCCCAGAGCAGTACCCACCCCCAGGGTCTTGGGTACCTGAGACCATCACAGAGAGGTCAAGGTGACCTGTCTCCTACTGCCCTTACAACACCTCTGGCCCCTTCACCATTACCAGGGCTCTCCTCTCCCCTTCATTCTGAAGCTTTAGATAGAACCATCCCTCATACTGTAGTCCAGGCCAAGTTCAGTTATACTGACCTCTGGGGTGTCATCAAAGGGCAAAAAGCCTCACAAGAGACTGTCCTGTAGCCAGAAACCCAGAGACATAAGCCTTGACTGAAGAGCCTAGAGGGGGTGTGTGTGTGAAGGGAGACAGTGTAATTTGCTAGAGTAAGTGGGGAGGGGAGGCACCTGAGGCCACACTGTGTGTACCTGGAGCCTGAGGGATATATATTCAAGGACCTCCCCTGCTCCTCACCTGAGGTCCACCTGAACTGTAACTGGTTATATCCTTGGACAGCCTTTTAGGGCTGGCCCTGCTCTGCCCGGCTTTCATGGCAAGCAGAGTCTAAGCTGTGCCCCCTTTCCACACAGAGGAGGGCCTCTGGGTGAAGCAGCTAGGGGACTCTATGTGAGAGGCTGAGCAGAGTTGGACCCAGAGTCCCAGCCCACGCCCTGTCCCGGCTGGGTACTATAGCTGTTGGGGCCCAGTTCCTCCTGAAGGCTACAGTCCTTCACAGGGAGCAAATGCCAAACTGCTCATCTCACAGGACGGTAAGCCAGGCATATGTGTACGTACATATGTGTGTTCTCTCTCTCTCTAAAAACCGAGTTCTCCAAAGAGCTAAGGCTGCCTTCAGGGGTATTTTTCAGGCACTAGGGGTAGAAGCAGGACCAGAACTGACCTCGGTGAAGTTCTTAGCCTATTCCTCCAAGTCTCTGACTTTAATTAAGCAGGACCGAGGATGACATCACCCAGCAAAACAAGAATGTTCCCTCTGCCTCACAGGGTTCTAGGGCCATGTGTGGGACCCAGAGTCCCAAGGTTCCAAGGTCCCATGCAGGGGCAACACTTCCAGAGGAACTCTGTCCAGATGATGGGAGTAGTCTGGGACCACTAGAGTCCAAAGCCCAACTTGGGCAGGGCCTAGGCATCTTGCCCTCACTCATGCTCACCTATACTTTGCCTACCTTTGGAAGTTTTCGTATGTAGCTGTCTCTGAGAATACTATCTCCTCCTAGTAGCATCTGCCTCTCTGAGAGCTTGCTCCCTGCCAGGAATCTGGTAGGCAGGAACTTGCTGGCCTGTCTAAGCAGGAGCTGCAACATACAACTCCACTGTGGGTCATGCTCGCCAGGGGCAGTGTGGAGTGTTGGGGAGAACAGTGAGGCAAGAGGGTGGAGAGTTGGGCACCACGCAGACAAGATTCATAGTATTTGGTAAAGGGACAGAGGCAGGAATACATGAGGTTAGAAATAAAAGGATAGGTTCTGGGCCCTGAGTAACAGAGAAACAACCAAAGGCCCCAAGAGGATGTCATGACAGGAAATGTTCTTGTCTGAAGACACCCAGCAGCCCAGCCTGGTAGGTGGGGCTTATTCTTTGGTGCTGGCAGTGGGTGTGTGGTGGGGAGTGAGGGTATAGGTGAGCAGACCCTCCACATGCAAGTGAAGAAATCCAAAGAGATTATTCTGAGGGCCCTTGAAGGGAAGCCAGGGAAAAAGGCCCTTTGCCCAACCCTCCATCTCAGGACTCAGTTGGGTGAGGTGCTTCCCTTTCTGGCAAGAAGAGGCAAAGGGGATCTTCATCAACAGTACCTGTGGGGTTGGCTGGGCTGGCTCCACTGAGGGCTGGAGAACGGCCGGCTGTGAGGGCCCAGGGAGCTGGGTGGCAGGAACTGTTGTTGCTGCATTTGTCTGAATGGGAGAGTCAAAGGAGTGAGGAGAATGGGACTCACCAGTCAGCATGTGGGAGCAAACCTACAGCAGGGTGAGTGATGTGCCCCTACCTGTGAGGAGTACTCCCATTGGGCCTCCCTCTGTAGCTTCTTGGCCAACAAGCCTCAGGCCCTGGGCACTGTGAGGCCTAAACCAGCACTCCTGGCCTTTTTGGACCCATGGCTCCTGGCACTGCCCTGCCCTCTTCAGGGAGCAGCCCACACCATGGACCCCAAGGGGAGATTTGGTGACTACCTCATCTTACCCCCAACCCCCAAGTTCACGTTAAGACTATCCTTTTGAGGACTGCAGCTTCTCAGAGAACTATGTCTTGCTAAGGCTCCTTGCTCCAGAGACCCCAGCACCAGCAAGAGGACCTGGGCACTCAGAAAGAAGAGGTGCTCACCAACCTCTGAGAAGGGGTTGAATTCAGCCAGGCCACCTTGTGATGCATTGGTCAGCTGGGTCACAGAGGGATCCTGAGAAGATGAAAAAGAGCCATTAGATGCTGAGGAAAAGAGAGAACCTCAGTAAGGAAGGGACATCACCATCTGAGGGCCAGCAGACAATCCTGGGATGCCTGGCTGAAGTGAAGCTGCTGATGGCCCTTCCTGAAGAGCCTCTTCTGAAGGCTCCCATGCCCAGCCCCTGCCACACAGAGCTACCTACAATCCTTTACTTTTCTGGAGAAGCAGAGGTTCAGCCCAGATGACTTCCCAGAGGAGACACAAAGCAAGTTTTATACTTTGAGGCCTAGGAATCGACACTGCATGTGTTCTTGTCAGTCAGTATCCTTTATAGGTTTGTAACAGTTCATAGTATTTAACTCCAGGGAGTGGGGTTTTTTGGCCAGGGTGGTGGTGAATGGGTGGAGACTTTTCACTTTATAGCCTTTCTGTACTGTCTTTCTCTCTCCCTCCCTCCCTCCCTCTCTATCTCCTTCCTTCCTTCCTTCCTTCCTTCCTTCCTTCCTTCCTTCCTTCCTTCCTTCCTTCCTTCCCTCCCTCCCTCCTTCCCTTCCCTCCCTCCCTTCCTTCCTTCCTTTAATCCTCAACCAAGGACATGCTTATTGATTTTTAGAGAGAAGGGAAGGGAGAGAAACATTGATCAGTTACTTCCCATATGCATCCCAACCAGGGATCAAACACACAACCTAGGCTTGTGCCCTGACCAGGAATCGAAACCTGCGACCTTTTGGTTTCCAAACAACATTGCAACCAACTGAGCCACACTGGCCAGGGCTTTTTACTGTTTTATTATTTATTATTTTACTTCTCTTTAACAGACAGCTTTTGTTCTTCAACATCTACAAAAGGTTGTAGAACAGAAACATGCTACTGGGTGCCTAATTTGATTAAATCAAGCGTTCTTACTGGGAATAAAAAAATAGAAAGGACTCATAAAAAGCCAGGAAAATGTTTTTGGTTGTTTTTTCCCCCTAGAATCTTTTTTTTTTAATATTTATTCACTTTTAGAGAGAGGGAAAGGAAGGGTTTGAGAGAGGGACAAACATCAACGTGAGAAAGAAATATCAATCAGTTGCAGTTGCTTCTAGTACAGGCTCTGACCAGGGACTGAACCTGCAACTCAGGCATGTACCTGCAACCTTTCACTCTGCAGGACAATGTCCAGCCAACTGAGCCACATGGATCAGGGCCTTTTTTCTAGATTCTTTAAAAAAAAAAAATACAAGCCCTGGCTGAAGTAGCTCAGTGGATTGAGCGCAGGCTGTGAACCAAAGTGTCGCAGGTTCGATTCCCAGTCAGGGCACATGCTTGGGTTGCAGGCCATGACCCCCAGCAACTGCACATTGATGTTTCTCTCTCTCTCTATCTCCCTCCCTTCCCTCTCTAAAAATAAATAAATACAATCTTAATAAATAAATAAATAAGAGCTTAAAAAAAAAACAAAAAATATCCTCAGAACACAGCTTGTCCTAAGTTTTTAATCTTCCTTTTCCATCTGGTCTCTGCCAAAGCCAACCCTTCTGGCCTAGAGCCTGCACTCAAGCAGCCCCCATGTTGGCCTGAGGCCAATCTGTCTTCATCCTGCCCCTTACCAAGCAGGGCTCCTTATACACTCCCCCGTCCCCATGCATATAGGTAGAGGCTCAGGTCCAGCTCAGCGGCAATGCCTATGCTCTGGGAGAAAGAGCTGTGAAGGGTAAGAAGACTGCCACTGGATTCTGCCAAGGCCCCTGTTACAGGCCTCACCTAGGCTTCCCTGTCTCCACACCTCACCATCCCTCACTATTCATCCAGATGCTCCTGTCCTTCTGGCCCAGCCTCACCTCTACCAGGAAGCCTCCATAGGATGGATCTTTAAACACAATGTTAACATTAAATAGACTCCCAGGGAACCCCCTCAATTTTCTACATGGAAATGGATACTCACCATGGTGTAGTACTTGTCCTAGGTCTCAAGATGGGAGCTGGCTCCATATTCTAAACATAGAGCTCAGGGTCACACCGAAGGTGTTTCCTAACCTTTTCACACATAACAACTCTCCTCTTCCCACCTGAGCCACCAGTTCCTTGAGGGCAACACTCTGAGCTGCCCCAGGAACTAACCCAGAGCTGGGCACACAGCTCTTGTCTTGTTGGGCCTCACTCTCACACTTCCACTAGAATCCTCTGCAAAGGCTCAAGGTGGCTCTGTCCTTTTTGCTGGACCCCATCCCTGCCTGGTGGCTCCTACAACTTGGACAAAGTGGCAAGCTGAGGTTCAGGAGGCCACATGGAGCTGGAGAAACTGGCCTTGAGGTTATTTTTTTGGCTGAACGACTACCAGATGTCTCTCAGAATCAGTGGGCCTGCTTCCTGCAAGATCGATTCAAGACTCAGTATCTGCTCTCCTTTCAGAGTCAGCAGACACCAAGCCACAGTGGAGTGAGGGAGCTGAAGTCACTGAAATCAGATCCACCATCCAAGGAACTGGTTACTCAAGTCTGACTCACTACAGGACAGAGGACAGAGGGGAGGCTCTGGTTGCAGTTTCAGGTACTGGCATACATAACTGTCAGAGGTACACATTTACCAGAAGAGGGCTCTTCTGGGGGCTTGGGGGCTGACTGCACTATCCACACTGATCCCTCTTCTTTTTTCTAAAACCTTAAAGACACCAGGCTCACCATAAACTAAACCTGTCTCCACTAGCAGGCCATAAACTCTGCAGCCAGGCGTCTAGTTCAAACTCTGGCTTCCTAGTGCTTGGTGAAGGGCCTGCGTGGAGCAGAAGCTTGGGTAATGTCTGGGAATAAATGCTGCACGCTGTAGGGCCTCTGCTCTCTCTAGGAGGCACTGCCCAAATGCTAGGGCTTAGAGAAGGATCACAGCGGCAGCCTCAGGGCCCAGAAGCACCTTGCTCGGGAAGAGGAGCCTGCCACACTCTGGAAGACAGGGATACTTCTCATCTGAGGAGACCTGGGCTCTTTCTGAAAGGTGTGAGTGGCTCTGAGAGAAGCTGAAGCCTGGGGATAGATGTGGGGGTAGGAGGGACTGAGGAAGAGAGCTGACACTTACTGTCTACTACATGCCAGGCTTACCACACCAGGATGCTACTGTGGGATTGTGGTCACCCCAGAACTGGCCACTGTGTCAAGATACATGAAAAGAAGGTTCTACCAGCCTTTTCAACCTGGTTCTTTGAGAAAATAAAGTCCCACTACCCTAAGGCATCCACTGTGTGCAATGACTTGACTTCTCTCCTGTGCAGATGGAACTGAACCATCCTGCTTATATTCCATCCTTGAGAGCATGGAGAAAATGGTCACTCCAATCAGTTTCTGTGACCTGCAGCTCAGCTGAGGGGCCCTGGCTAAGAAAAGCTACACCCCTCCTTATTGCACCTCACAACCACCCTGTGAGGGAGGAGTATTTGTAGTGTGCAGCCAGACAAAGCCTCCATTCAGAGGGGAAGCAGCTCATCTAAGTTCTCAGGAGTAGCTGCTGAACCCAACTCTGAATCTAAGTCTGTGTGTCTCCAAAGACACGAGTGATAAACCTGAGAGGGAAAGGCCCAGGTCCACCTTGTTCAGCAGTGCACCCCAAAGCCTGGTACAGTGCCTGGTAAATGGAAGTGCTCCATTAACGTGTGGTTGAATAAATGATCCCTACTCTGGAAGAACACTGATGAGGGCACCATGAGTGACTGGGACAATTGCTTCTGCTCATTTCTTTATTCCTGGGCCTTTATTCCTTCCTTCTTGGGGAACACCCTTAGTAGGCCACATGCAGAGGGTCTTGCAACTGAGGACCACACTGACCAGCCTGAATGAGGACTCTCAGCTTCTACTATGAGTCACAGATAAGAAGTCAACAGCAGCAATCTTCTTTCCCACTCACCGAACATTAGATAATTCGTAAGGGGGTCAAGCAGTTATTTACAAGGATCATGAGAGCTAAGTATCACCTACAAAGAAGTAACCTAAAATCCCCTCAGTGCCAAAAGCCCAGACTGGCTAATGCCTTTTGCTGAATTCACAATAAATAAAGTACTCCTGCACTCAGTTTTTTTCATTCAGTTAACAGTCACAAATGGTGTGAGGGGCACACCAAGGTAAACAAGATAATAGCTCTTGGCTTACTAGAGCCCACAATATAGTAGCTGAGACATGTGCACAAGAACCCAGGGGGGATGCTAATGAGAAGGGAGGTCCAGGCAGGGCTTTGAGGAAGGCAGGGTTCCAATAGGAGGGGGGAAGCTGAGCAAGCTGAGCAAAAGGTCCAGTGAGTAAGTCCCACCACAGCTCTGGGGCGGGGGAACACTTTCATGTCACTGGGGTGTGAGGGACCCATGAGAAAAGAGGCAGAGTTAGGCATGAGCTCTGCCGGGAAGAAGCCTTGAAAAAACTGGCTTTCACTAGTTTGGCAATGTCTTTCTATGAGGTTCACAGGTCCTGCTGTGTGCTAGCTAAGACTTCCCCTTGCTTTCCCATCCAAACTCCCAGGGGTTTATTTCTGACTCCAAACAAACATTAAATAAATACCTCACATGCTACAAAACTCGCCATTCTCTCTGGGAGACATGGAGTCACCAATACTTGAACAGCTCAGTGAAGTCCTATCTGCTTTGGAGGCTGTGTATCACAGAACAAGAGAGAACAATCATCCTCAAACAGGCTGGCTGGGTCCCAAGGTTCCCACAGTTAACCTTGGTTCTCTCTAACTTAGAACCTAAGAATCCATCCTAAGAAAGTATTACAAAAAACACATAAAAATCCGTATCTACAGACATTTATTGCACCAGTATTTACAAGAGGAGAAAAAAAGCAGAAAATAACTTAAATACCCAGTGACTGTAAGCACCCATATGTTTTGGTGCACATTCCCTCAAGGGCCTCAACAGCCATTAAAAAGAACAGGTATGAACATAGTGCAGCAATACAGAACAGGCTGTGTTACATGAATACATTTCATTCAAAGTACTCATGAAAAGAGACGGGGGAAATGTATCAAAATAACAATAGTTGCAAAAGACT